GAAACGTTGAAGAAGAAGAAACGTTGAAGAAGAAGAAACGTTGAAGAAGAAGAAACGTTGAAGAAGAAGAAACGTTGAGAAGAAGAAAACGTTGAAGAAGAAGAAACGTTGAAGAAGAAGAAACGTTGAAGAAGAAGAAACGTTGAAGAAGAAGAAACGTTGAAGAAGAAGAAACGTTGAAGAAGAAGAAACGTTGAAGAAGAAGAAACGTTGTTGAACAAGAAACGTTGAAGAAGAAGAAACGTTGAAGAAGAAGAAACGTTGAAGAAGGTTTTACTGTGACAATCTTTCTCTCTGTGAGATCTTTATTAAGTTCTGATAAAACTAACAAGAGCAAAACGTTGTACAAGTAAAAGTGTGTTTAATGGCGTTTTTTCCCTTCACTGTATGAGAAGTTCGCCATTATAATGCTACCACCAGCAGACCTGGACTCACAACAGTCTACAAACATCCGGGTACCTAATTACTGATAATTGAACAGGTGTAAGAAGATTTATGCATATCCACTGACTTGGGATCGAACCAGAGACCTCTGGTTTGTGCACCATAAGCTCCGACCACTGAGCTACAAGTCTGCTGGCACTGACTGATGGATGTGTGAGGAAATAGCAAGAGTAGTAGTGACTGATGTTTACACTTTCTACACACACCAGTGTCTCTCTCTCTCTCACACACACACACACACACAGGAGCTGAGTCTCGACCCCTGGAACTACAATTAGGTGAGTACACACAGTAGTAGCAATCAGTGATGAGGCGGGGCCAGGAGCTATGAACCAACCCCTGCAACCACAAATAGGTGAGTACACACACACGCCCACACACAACATCAAGCACAGCATGACAGACAGACACTACGGACCACGAGCCACCTGTACCACCTTGATTCCATTCTTTAATCGGCTCATAACCGAAAAGATCCGGGTTCAGTCCAGAAAGGGTGGATATATATGTGCATGTTTCCCTACACATGCTGCTTCCTGTTCACCTAGCAACAGTTAGGTACCTGGGTGTTACTCGCCTGTTGTGCGTGGCATCCTGGAGATGGGGAAAGTAGTATCCCTCAGAGCATGGCTGTAAATGACCTGAGGCAGGATAACAGCAGCTAGTATTCTGTAAATGACCTGAGGCAGGATAACAGCAGCTAGTATTCTGTAAATGACCTGAGACAGGATAACAGCAGCTAGTATTCTGTAAATGACCTGAGGCAGGATAACAGCAGCTAGTATTCTGTAAATGACCTGAGGCAGGATAACAGCAGCTAGTATTCTGTAAATGACCTGAGACAGGATAACAACAGCTAGTATTCTGTAAATGACCTGAGACAGGATAACAACAGCTAGTATTCTGTAAATGACCTGAGACAGGATAACAACAGCTAGTATTCTGTAAATGACCTGAGACAGGATAACAACAGCTAGTATTCTGTAAATGACCTGAGACAGGATAACAACAGCTAGTATTCTGTAAATGACCTGAGGCAGGATAACAGCAGCTAGTATTCTGTAAATGACCTGAGACAGGATAACAACAGCTAGTATTCTGTAAATGACCTGAGGCAGGATAACAGCAGCTAGTATTCTGTAAATGACCTGAGGCAGGATAACAGCAGCTAGTATTCTGTACATGACCTGAGGCAGAATAACAGCTCTTACTATGTAAATTTGTATACAAGATGCATAACCCTGTTAAATGAGAAAATATTAAATATTCATTGAGAAAGACTTAGCGTGTAGGGGGCTATGTGAGGTACTCAAGTTGAACCCAGAGAGAATGGCACCTCTTGTTCCTCGAAGCAGAAAACTGTCCATGACTCACTAAATCATCAAAGCAGGTTCTTCAAGGGCACCATATTGCTAACAAGTTATGCAGATAAAGACCTTGATGCCATAAATGGTTTAAAACCGACATGTTGAAGATTAAGACACTTATGCAACATACGAAAATCTTTATTGAAGAGAAACCTTCTCATATGTTGCATAAGTGTTTTAATCTTCAACTTGTCGGTTTTAAGCCATTTGTCGCATCTGTCAGAAACTGCAACATCATGGGATCTTGATATAAGGAATTCTTCAACACCTGTCCAACCTTAGGACAAAGACGTACTTAAGTACACTAGTGGATGGTCCCACTGTGATCCCGCCTCCTGCTTCCTCTCACCTGACTACAGTATATAAGCCACTTCTCCGGCTATACTTTCTTCAAGATTAATGAACTGAACACATCGACTCCAGGCTGAGGGACTGATTATCTCTAACTCCTCCTCTCCTTACACCTTTCTGCTTTGTATCGGACTGATGAAGCCACTGTGTAGCGAAACGTTTCTTCAATATAGATTCCCATATGTTGCATAAGTGTCTTAATCTTCACCTTGATGCCATAGTTCATCATGGTAGATTATTGGTAATGTTTGTTCTATGGGTTACTAGTCTACCATCATGATGGTGTTTGTTCTGTGAGTCAATATTTTACCATCACTTTCATCCTCTTCTGCTCTACCTTTTCTAAAAACTCCATTCCCTTGAACAACTCCTCCTCTACTTTCTAAATAATACCTTTTGTAATCCCACAATGACTTATAATTTCTATACTCCGTATTGAATACACATTTCCACTGCCTCCATCCTCCTCCCTGCTGCAGCGTTCAAAGCTCATGACTCACACCCAAATAAAAAAGTGTTGGTGACACTTTTGAGGTAAATTCCTCTTTTCATTTGCTTCCGTAGATAAAGTTCTGTCTCTCCACAAATGCAGCAACACACCACCCACCTTGTTTCCTCGTCAGTGTTCTATGGTTCACCCTGTCATCCATTAGACTCAGTTGTCGACATGTCACCTCACAAATATCTAAATACTTTCACTTCCTTCCTGTTCCCTCCTATAATCTGATAGTACTTTTTTCATTGTCAAAACTTTTTGTTGCACTCGTCAACTTGCTCTATCCAATGCCTACTTTTCATGTCCGTCTTTTACACACTCTTCAAGACTCCATCAACATTGGCAACTTTTCTTCGTAATCTGTCAAAAGAACATTTACAACACTTTGTATCAGATTTATTATCTTATACTCCCACGCCTCTCACTGGCACCCTAAGTAACCCTATCTATACACATTAACAACCATGGTGAGAAGCCTGAGCTTGCTACCATCTGCAGCTCACAAGACTGCCATCCCCACGAGCCCCTTTGAGGCGGGGCAGATGGCAGACCAGAGGCCTAGCTTCTCCCTACGAGCCCCGTGAGGGCGGGGAATGTGGCTAGGCCTGGGGACACTTGGTCCCAAAGATGAGGAGGTACTTGTACCTCCTCCCATGGGAGACTTAAGTCTCGAGACACTCCCCAGATAGGGAGCCAAGGCCGGGTCACCACTACTTGGAAAAGACCCGGGCCGGGAGAATACCGGCGAATAAAAAAAAAAAAAAAAAAAAAAAACATGGTGACATGGTTGTTAATATGGGTTCTAACCTGAGCCTCATTCTCAGCATGAAAACTCTTTATTGATTTTAGTAAGCTACTGTCTATTCTATACATTTAGAAAGTCTGCCACATTGTTTCTTATCCACCCTGTTGTGTGATTTTTCTAAATTCACAAATTAATAAGTTTCCTTACCATTATTTAAGCTTTGCAAAATTACTTACATGCTTCGATGTAAACTTTTGTTCTAATATCTTCAACCTTTCTATATCCTCCCTATTTCTCTGTAATCTAATTTTGCCTGACTTCTGACTCAATAATAATTCTGCCAATTTACACGGTATAATCACCATGATTATTTCCTTATAATTCTTACACTCACTTTTTCCCCTCTTCCTTATACTGTGCTAATATGCATATTCTCTGCCAGTCCTTAGATATCTTCTCTTGTTTCTTGTATATACCGAACACAAGCACCAACCACTAAAACTCTATCCGCACCTGCTTTTAACATCTAAATCTTAATATTATCAGTCACAGCTACTTTACCTCTTTCATTATACACACTGCATAACACACAGGACAAAATGGTAACACACTTCCTTCACACTCACCTCTGCTCTTCCGTACTCCTACCAGAGTTTATCTCTCTCTGCCAACGCATGGTATCACTGCCTCCCTTTCATCATCAACATTTAACAGCTCCTCATAATGTCCTCTCCATCCTTCTAATGACTCAGTTTCTCCACTTTCCTTTATAACTGCCAAGTCCACTTGCTCCCCAGGCTTCCTCAACTTATTAATCTCTCTCTCAAAAACTGTTTCTCATTCTCAGTAAAATTTGCAGATAAAGATTCACCCATTGGTATAGGCCTGAGAATACCGGCGAATAATAATAAAAAAAAAAACAACCATTGGTATCCCGTAGCTCGATTGCTTGCGCACTCCTTACACACTGAGGTCCGGGGGTCGATCCCCTGTACGGTTGGAACATTAGGACGTGTTTCCTTAAGATACCTACGGTCCAGTGTTCACCAATCAGTAAAATAGGTACCTGAGTGTTAGCCGAGTGATGTGGGTCGCATACTGGGGACAAAATTGATCTAATTTGTCCGAAATGTTCTGCATAACATGGGGCTTTCTATATAGTAGTATGTCATTGATGTCGGCTGTGGTCTGTACACCTTGTACATGAACTTGGAGAAATTAAGATTACTATTATTATTGTCTTACTGGCTCTCACATTGCTCTCCCTCACCGCTGGTTTTTACATTTGTTTTCTTTATATTATCTTCCTTCCATGTATCATTTTGACATTGTAAATATTTCTCATATGTTATGTATACCAGTACCTAAATAAACTTACTTACACTGTCACTAAAGTCATCAGAGCTAGAGCTTGACTGTCATGCACACTTCACCTGGACGTCTACCTACCTACTTGGAGGTACGTAGGTAAACGTACTCAGCATCAAGCAATATAGAGTACACGGGACAACCCAAAGGCTTCCTTTACTATCAAGAGGCCACGATACATGGCCTCTTACAGGGATATACGTAAATTCATACATAAATTTATACATACCTTATCAATACATCTTCAGGTCGGTATCGGTCTTCTTGAGTAGTTTTATATGCTTGGAAACACTGTTTCTATCTAAAGGCAAAGAAAAGGCAAGAGTTTGAGGAAGTTTGTTGTCTAGTGAGTAGTGTAGTAGTGGTTGGTGAAGTGATGGGGGTGGTGGTGGTGATGGGTGGTGGGGGTGGTGGTGGGTGTGGGGGTGATAAGACAGAGGTACTCTTCTTGCTTGAAGGACGAAGCCAATATGTACCCAGTATATATTATTATCATCAGCTTCGTTATCGTGGTTATCTATTATGTAGTAATTGTTACAGCAGTGTAGGTGTGAGGTCGACATAGTTACCAGCACAGCCAGATACAGCTTCCTCATGTCCTGCGTCACTCTGGCGCCACCAGTACCATTGTGATTACTACCCTCTCTCTTACACCACGTACACATATCCACATACCCGTGTACACATACCGACATCCATGTACACATACCCACACCCATGTATATATACCCACACACCTATGTACACATACCCACACACCCATGTAAACATACTCACACACCCATGTACACATACCCACACACACATGTACACATACCCACACACACATGTACACATACCCACACACCCATGTACACATACCCACACACCCATGTACACATACCCACACACCCATGTACACATACCCACACACCTATGTACACATACCCACACACCCATGTAAACATACTCACACACCCATGTACACATACCCACACACCCATGTACACATACCAACACACCCATGTACACATACCCTCACACCCATGTACACATACCCACACACCCATGTACACATACCAACACACCCATGTACACATACCCACACACCCATGTACACATACCCACACACCCATGTACACATACCAACACACCCATGTACACATACCCACACACCCATGTACACATACAAACATACCCATGTACACATACCCACACACCCATGTACACATACCCACACACCTATGTACACATACCCACACACCCATGTAAACATACTCACACACCCATGTACACATACCCACACACCCATGTACACATACCCACACACCCATGTACACATACCCACACACCATGTATATATACCCACACACCTATGTACACATACCCACACACCCATGTACACATACCCACACACCCATGTACACATACCCATGTACACATACCCACACACCCATGTACACATACCCATGTACACATACCAACATACCCGTGTATACACACACTGTATATACTCTTTATATAAACATAATCAACAAAAATATTAAAATAACTAAGGCACACAACACAAAGACAGAATCAGGAGAGAAATTATTACGATATACAAGATACTCAGGGCCTCATTAGGATAGAAACATAATATTAATGGAAATATCTGAAGGAGACAGCGGCCTACCTACCTGCCTGGAGTCTACCTAATAATATCTTTATTTTACTACAAGTACATGTACAGGGTATACAGGCCTAGCTGATAACAATGACATACTATTATATAGAAAGTCCCTTGTTATGCTCCGCATTTCGGGCAAATTAGGTCAGTGTCCCAGAATGCGACCCACACCAGTCCAATAACACCCAGGTACCCATTTTACTGATGGGGAACATAGACAACAGGTGGAAAGAAACACGCCCAATGTTTCTACTCTGGCTGGGAATCGAACCCAGGCCCTCGCCGTGTGAAGCGAGAGCGTTAACCACCAGGCCACCAGACCTAGAGGGTATACCGGGGATCAACGCCCCCGTGTTGATCCCAGACACCATTTACCTGGAGTTTACCTGGAGAGAGTTCCGGGGGTCAACGCCCCCGCGGCCCGGTCTGTGACCAGGCCTCCTGGTGGATCAGAGCCTGATCAACCAGGCTGTTGCTGCTGCATGCATGCAAACCAACGTACGAGCCACAGCCCGGATGATCAGGAACTGACTTTAGGTGCTTGTCCAGTGCCAGCTTGAAGACTGCCAGGGGTCTGTTGGTAATCCCCCTTATGTGTGCTGGGAGGCAGTTGAACAGTCTCGGGCCCCTGACACTTATTGTATGGTCTCTTAACGTGCTAGTGACACCCCTGCTTTTCATTGGGGGGATGGTGCATCGTCTGCCAAGTCTTTTGCTTTCGTAGTGAGTGATTTTCGTGTGCAAGTTCGGTACTAGTCCCTCTAGGATTTTCCAGGTGTACATAATCATGTATCTCTCCCTCCTGCGTTCCAGGAATACAGGTTTAGGAACCTCAAGCGCTCCCAGTAATTGAGGTGTTTTATCTCCGTTATGCGCGCCGTGAAAGTTCTCTGTACATTTTCTAGGTCGGCAATTTCACCTGCCTTGAAAGGTGCTGTTAGTGTGCAGCAATATTCCAGCCTAGATAGAACAAGTGACCTGAAGAGTGTCATCATGGGCTTGGCCTCCCTAGTTTTGAAGGTTCTCATTATCCATCCTGTCATTTTTCTAGCAGATGCGATTGATACAATGTTATGGTCCTTGAAGGTGAGATCCTCCGACATGATCACTCCCAGGTCTTTTGACGTTGGTGTTTCGCTCTATTTTGTGGCCAGAATTTGTTTTGTACTCTGATGAAGATTTAATTTCCTCATGTTTACCATATCTGAGTAATTGAAATTTCTCATCGTTGAACTTCATATTGTTTTCTGCAGCCCACTGAAAGATTTGGTTGATGTCCGCCTGGAGCCTTGCAGTGTCTGCAATGGAAGACACTGTCATGCAGATTCGGGTGTCATCTGCAAAGGAAGACACGGTGCTGTGGCTGACATCCTTGTCTATGTCGGATATGAGGATGAGGAACAAGATGGGAGCGAGTACTGTGCCTTGTGGAACAGAGCTTTTCACCGTAGCTGCCTCGGACTTTACTCTGTTGACGACTACTCTCTGTAGTCGGGGGTGTCTTCCACACCCCCGTCAGTTGCGTTTCATCGATAGATTTGTTGAAGATTATTGCAAGTGGTAGACACAGAACCTGTACTCAGCTAATTGTGGCTGCAGGGGTCGATTCATAGCTCCTGGCCCCTGTGTGTATGTGTGTGTGTGTGTGTGTACTCACCTAATTGTGGTCGCAGGGGTCGATTCATAGCTCCTGACCCCTGTGTGTGTGTGTGTGTGTACTTACCTAATTCACCTAATTGTGGTTGCAGGGTCGAGACTCATCTCCTGGCTCCGCCTCTTCACTGAATGCTACTAGGTCCTCTCTCACTTTGCTCCATGAGCTTTATCATACCTCATCTTAAAGCTATGTATGGTTCCTGCCTCCACTACCTCACTTGCTAGGCTATTCCACTTCCTGACTTCTATGACTGAATAAAATACTTCCCAACATTCCTTTGACTCATCTGGGTCTTCAGCTTCCAATTGTGACCCCATGTTTCTGTGTACCATCTCTGGAACATCTTGTCTCTGTCCACCTTGTCTATTCCACGCAGTATTGTGTATGTCGTTATCATGTCTCCCCTAACCCCCCTGTCCTCCAGTGTCGTCAGGCCGATTTCCCTTTACCTTTCTTCGTAGGACATTTCCCTTAGCTCTGGAACTAACCTTATCGCAAACCTTTGCACTTTCTCTAATTTCTTGACGTGCTTGATCTAGTGTGGGCTCCAAACAGGTGCTGCATACTCCAGTATGGGCCTGACGTACACAGTGTACAGTGTCTTGAACGATTCCTTACTAAGGTATCGGAACGCAATTCTCAGGTTTGCTAGGCGCCCATATGCCGCAACAGTTATCTGGTTGATGTGTACTTCCGGAGACATGCTCGGTGTTATACTCACCCCAAGGTCTTTCTCCTTGAGAGAGGTTTGCAGGCTTTGGCCACCTAGCTTATACTCCGTCTGCGGTCTTCTTTGCCCTTCTCCGATCTTCATGACTTTGCATTTGGAGGGGTTAAATTCGAGAAGCCAGTTGCTGGACCACGTGTCCAGCCTGTCCAGGTCTCTATGACGTCCTACCTGATCCTCATCTGATTTAATTCTCCACATCAACTTCACATTATCTGCGAACAGGGGCACTTCTGAGTCTATCCCTTTCATCATGTCATTCACATATACCAAAAACAACACTGGTCCCAGGACTGACCCCTGTGGGACCCCACTCGTCACAAGCACCCATTGTGATACCTCATCACGTACCATGACTCGTTGTTGCCTCCCCTGTCGGGTTTATTTCTGACCCTTGTTTGCCCTTCCCCGTTTTTACCCCTGACCAAATAGTTTTCTGCACCAATCCTTGTGAGGAACTGTGCAAAGGGCCCTTCTTGCAGCCCCAAGAAGAGCAATCAGCCCCCCCCCTCCCGTGTCTTACTTCTTTACTTTATCTAAAATCCAGAAGGTTTGTGACACAGGATTTCCCTTTCCATAACCCCCGTGCGGTTTCATTTTCTTTGTTCCTTTTCCAGGTGCTCCACCACTCTCCTCCTGAAATTTTCCCTCCATGCTTTGCAAACTATACACTCGGACACTGGTCTAAGTTTAGTGCGTGCGGTGTGGTTGTGTGTGTGTGGTGTGTGTGTGTGTTGTGTGTGTGTGTGTGTTGGGTGTGTGGTGTGTGGTGGGGTGTGTGGTGTGTTGTGTGTGTGTGTATGTGTTTACACCGGGGAGGTTAGGTGATTTTAGACCTGGATAACAAGGCCCATAGGCGTAGTGGGTAAGTTTTGGGTAGAAAGCCTGAATAACACGACGCTTCTCTTTTCTTATGGTTTCCTGGTGTAAGTCAATACATTAGTTGCGTCATGATGAATGCGTCCAATTGCGTCATGAAAATTGCTTTTTAGCAATGTTTGTTTCACCCAAAAGGGTAACGTGTGTCGGTGTTTTTTTGTTTTTCCCATCATCCCCCACTTCCTCCTCCCCCTCCCCATTTTTTTCTTTCTTCTTCCTCCTTTTTTTACCCTTTTCCTTTCCACAATTTTCTCCCGTTTTCCTTTTTTTTTAATAACCCTTTTATTCCCTTAATATTTTTTCCTCCCCCCACTTTCCCCTTCTCTCTCTCTCCCCTTCTTTCTTCCTCTCCCTCTCTTTCCTTCTCTCTCTCCCCTTCTTCTCTCTCTTCCCCTCCCTCCTCTCTCTTCTCTCCCCTCCCTCTTCTCTCTCTCTCTCTCTCTTCTCCCTCTCTTCACTCTCTCCCCTCTTTCCCCCCCCTCTCTCCCCTCTCTCTC